TCTGCAAAGGTTGCAACCATACCGAGTGCGGCTTCTGTCATTTCAGAATCATGTGAATGTTTACAGAGTTAGGTTGCTAGTCTAACACACAAGACAGTCAGCCTTACAACTAAAAGGTGCCAACTGTCGTAATATTTACCCATACAGGGAGAATTGAATTTATGCCTTTAGTAATATATCTTTTGTTATTACATAAAAATTCTCTTCATGAATAATATGACCTCACCACTCCTTGTCACTAACTCACTTTCGCTTTTGATAGAAAATTCATCCATGAATAGACAATTTTTACAGCCATAAGTGAGAGTAATTGCTAAAGAAGATATGCCTCACTGCACATCAGTTCATGGACAGTTTGTCATGAATTTCTTTTTAATTAAATGAAGCCATGTCAACCATTATTAATATCGAATGAATATTTCTTTCATTTCTAATTGCTTTATATTGCAACTGCGTGATAGGCCAAATAGACATGACGATAAACTATATCCGTGTCCTGGGTAAGATGATAAACTACATCCAACAGCAAGGCCTCTGATCAGGAGGCTTTGAGGAGCATGAAACCACCTCTTATTTGCTGGTGTTCCCAGGTCTATCCTGACCTGGGGTGGTAGCACCTGTTAGGGTCCCAGCTATGGGTAAACAGTTAACCACAAAATGGGGTCAAAACACTATGAAAGTGTAAAAATAGGTTTTAATACAGCAATACATTTTTGTAAAAAAAATTTCCAGCAATACATTTTTGAAGAAAAAAATATTACCAGCAATAAAAATCTTGTCAGCATTAAATAACCCATTGAGGTGTTGATATGCCATAAAACAAAACATAGCAAACAAACCAAACCCAAATTTTGGGGACACCCTCTGGATTTCAAAGAATCAGCTAAAAATTAAAGGTGGTGTGCTTTTTTCAAAACTAATTTACTTTCTCACTTTAAGCCAAAGAGACTTTCTCTTCCTGAAAGGTTTATTATGTATTCAATAGTCATTTATGGAGTTTCAACAGCTGCAACAACTAAAATGGATAGCACATTTAACTTGAAGAGAAAATAATGTCATAATCAAGGTATTAACATTCCACATCATTTCAAATAGAAGAATCGGAAAGAAATCCCCATCAATGCTGGAAAGAACTAAAACAAGTGACTGAACTTGATAATTAAAAAGTATTTTCAAAAAAGATTTTATAAATTTCAACTGAAATCAGTACTGACTGCTCGGTGAATGAATGCCAAAGATTTCCTTGTAGGGAAACAGCTAATATTAATATTTTTGGATAGCATTTCTTTAAAATTTTAATTCTTTTGCCTAATCTACCTTGTTGGTTAATAGTAAGATTTCAAATTTTAAGTGATCCCCTCTCTAAAAAATTGGACACCATGCACTAATTGGTTAATTTAGTTTCAGCATCCAAACTTAGTAGGAGTCAATTAAGTCAAAGAAGGTATGAAATTTAATTGTAGATGTGTCACCAAACTTTTGTCTTATAGTGTACTCAGATTGTTCTTTTCTGTGAATCAGAAATAAAATATACTTTTAGCAAAACTCAAACTTAGGAACTTCTTTTCCTGTTGTGGATACCCTACAGCTTGATCTAATAGCACTTTACTGTTAGAGTATATTTTCAACTTAAAAGACTTTTTATGAGAACTTACTTCATATTTAATGGTACTCAATAGCAATCAACTACATTCTAATAAAATGGTTATAAAATCTGGAATTCTAGGTTTTCCTGAAGAATTATTGCTCTTGGATTTGATTTTCTTTTTATGGCTTATCAACCCTTTGTGGGTTATTTAAAGCCAAAACATATTTTTGATTGTAATAATAATATATTTTTTTTTTTTGAGTAAATGTTTTTTTTTTTTACGAATAACAATGATTTTACCAGATATCAAGTCCAGCTATTTAGCTAATAGTTAAAGGGAAGAAATGGGTTCATGCCTTTCCTAAGGGTATTTGAGCATAAGTGAATTTAATGAACCAAACTGAAATCCAAATTTGGCTTTAATTCTGAGCCATTATCATCCCATCCACACATCCTATTCTCTTGGAGAAACACCTGATTGTTTATAATAAATACACTTGTACCAGAAACTAGTCCAGTAAGAGTAATACAAGAGTGAATGATGTCATTTAAAACAAGTTGCATGTGAATTTTTATAATAGAATAAAAAATCAAACAGCAAATACTACTTTATTATACGGTACAATATAAAGCCACCTGATCCGGAAATGTGTTCCTATAACTAAATGCATTTTCGAAACTTCAGTGAATATGTATGAAAAAAGATTAAAAGGTTTCTTTCAAAGTTTTCTAACTGATTAAAAAAATTCCAAAATAAACTCTTAAATTAAAATATCTAATTATTTTTTTTTCTACAAAAGATCTTTGTTGAAACTTTCAAATAAGAAGTATAATCAATGTAAAGAAAAACTAAAATGGCATTGTTTTTATGCAAATAATGATTACGGCTATAGCACGTTGAAACATCAGTTCTTATTCAATCACTGGTTAAGCAACATTGAACTGGGTCAGTGACCATTTGGGAACACAGGTGCTGTAGTGAATAACGGTTTCAAAAGAGAAATCAGAGAGGCAATTCCAGTTATATTCAGTACATTTATTTAAGTGCAAATACCCTTAAATCCAGCTATGGGTTAAATAGCAGGACAGACTGGATCCTATAGCCTTGTTTGGCAACCAGTCTACTGCAGAGAGTAATAGCAGCCCACTGTGGAAATTCTTCAGCCAAGTCAATCATGAATCGAAAAGAGACATAATTGTATCACACATGACACATAAGGAAGGATAGTAATATGTAGTAATTCTAGGGTGATCTATTTAGTACTTAATGATAATAGGAAACCGATCCCCCACTTTATGCGTAGTAGAATCTGATATGAATGTCAATCATGAATTGAAAAGAGATACAACTGCCCAAGTGTGTGTCACACATGACACCTAAACAAAGATATTAATATGTAGTAATTCCCCGGTTATCCATTTAGTACTTAATGATAATAGGAAACCGATCCCCCACTTTACGTCCGGTAGAATCTGATATGAAAAAGTCAATCATGAATCGAAAAAAGATGCAATTTCCCAAGCGGGCATCACACATGGTACATAAACAAGGATATTAATATGTAGTAATTCTCAGGTGATCCATTTAGTATTTGACGCCTTGATTACTCATTCACTAACACTCCAGCTTGAGTGGTTCTTAACTATTTGAACTATAGCAAATAAATGAATAAAATAAAGAGAATGAAAATATTTTCTGTTCATAAATATTAATAAATACTAATTACTATATCACAGGTTAGAATAAATAAATTCTCCATTAGAATAATAATAATAATATTCATAGTGACCAATGTAATTACTAACAATGACATTTGCAATGATTATTATTCTGTTGATTATTACATTATTCTTAGTAGTAATGACCTTATTGTTATTCAACATTTGGTAATCCTACAACCATTGTGAACTGTTGTATTAAAATACCTATTTAATGTTTACATCAAAAGGCAAGGGAGGAAACCCCCCATCAATCTGTAAAAAGAATGAACAGCTACTGGACTTGAGAAAACCAATTTCCTACACAACTGTTTTTTTTTTAAAGAGAAAGAATTTATAAATTTCCACTAAATGTAGCACTGGCTGCTCGGTCAATGAATCACAAATAAAGAACTGTACCAAATAACAGAAACCACATCACTTTAGGACTTTTAACAGCAGTAACAATTAAAATGAGTAGCACATTTCTATTGAAGAGATGAGTCTGCCGATGTTCCACACTATCACAAACAAAAGTCTAGAAAGGTAACATCCATCTATGCTTGAAAGAGTATTAACAGCTACTGGAGTTGAGAAATCCAATTTCCTGAAAAGTCATTCTAAGAGAAAGATTTTATAAATTTCAACTGAATGTAGCACTGGCTGAATGAATGCTGAATGTTTCCTTATAAGGAAATGGCTAACATTACTATTACCATGACCATTTAAAAAAAAGTAAAAGAATCTGATATTTGGTCATTTAATCTAACTTTGGGAATGGGGTCACCCTCCCCAAGAGAATTTTCAGCACCTCCTTCACTGATTGTTTACTGACAATCATATTAGATGATGTAGAAAGAAAATGAACAACACTAAATGAAATCAAAAAAAGAAATAAAAACAATATTATTTACACTATTTACAATGTTCGGACTGTTGTCTTCATCTTTATTGTTATATTCACAATGCTTCGGCCATTGTACACTCTGGCCTTCTTCAGGTGATATACATTGGAATTTCAAACCAAATACTTTATTTAGTTTATAGATGTAGATTGTTCTAGTTCAGCGTTGAAAGGGCATAGCACATGGAAATAGAACAATCTAACCCCATCGACTAAATAAAGGCTTCAGTTCAAAATTCCAATGTATATCCCCTGAAGAAGGCAGGAGCGTACAACAACCAAAATGTTGTGAATATGACAAAAAAGATGAGGACAATAGTGTAAATAGTTACAATACCGTATCTGAGAAATATAAACAAAAGCAATATTAGTCATAAAAATGAACAAAAAACAAATAATAATAACCTACCTATTTTATAAACAACATCTCTGACCACCTAACACAGGTAAACAAAACTGGTCCGCCCTGCCTCTCGTTATTCATAAATATTTCCTCCCTGCTTTTGGCTATCAGAAGAAAAAGGTGGGCTCAAACGAGTTTGATCAATCAGGTGGGAGTAAATGTGAAATTCTAATATAAATCTCAACATAGAAACCAATTTCACATCAGCAAACATCATAGATGATGAAAACCATTTTTGTTTCGTTTTTTTTTTTTAAAGATCTCACAGTTTAAACCAAATAGTAGAGGGTTGTATGAGCAACACAGTGTAAAATACAAGCAAAAACCTGAGGAAAAGGTTGCAGTCATTCTCTCTCTCTCTTTCTTATGTGGGAGGGGACTATAGAGGCCAATCCTTGCCTGACAACATGTTATATTGTGGGTTAGTCAAGCAGGCAGTCTTCCTTTGTGCATGCAGATTTCTTTCTTCTTTTCTTCCTCTGTAAAAAACCTGGTCGAAAGCGGAGAAGTAGGCAGACAGTCTTTCTAGAAAAAAATAAGTTACGCACTTTCATAAGTGACCTACATAGATTCCTTACATGTACACACACACACACACACAGAGAAGTTGTTTAATCATGGTCATTATCAAAATCAGTCAATCCCAAACACATTATTAAAAGGGAATAAAAAATGTAAGTACAAGTCAGTAAATCATGTTTTATAATCTAAACTTGTTTATAACAATGTAAAGAACTGATAAAAAAAGAGAATTCTGTTAGAAACAAAGAAAAGAGTTGTTCGACTGTAATGTAATATCAATTCTCCTATACAGCAATGAAAGCTGGACAATCTCCTCACAGATGAAGAAGAGATTTGAGGCAACAGAGATGTGGTTCTACAGAAGGATGCTGAGAATACCACAAAAGGAGCACATAAGCAGCAAAAATGTCTTAAGGAAAATGGAACAAAAAAAGAACACTTACACTCAGAATCAGAAAGAGACACATAATGATGAAAGGCTTGGAGAACATGACACTCACAGGACATATCAAAGGCAAAAGGAACAAAAGGAGGCAGTGGGAATGGGGGATACTAAATGTTACTAAGAGCTACAAGGGATAGAAAGTTGTGGAGAGCCATAATCGCCCAAAGGACAAGGCAAATAGAAACATTGTTTCAATTTCTATAGTTTTTGCTCTGAGCCGTGTTATTGTCATCTAGAAGACCCTATCTAAAGAGATTACAACAAGTAACTTTCTCTGCCTCGGTGAAGTAGATAGAACCAGTAGCTGAGGGTGTTTTGTTCCTTTCATACTAATGCCCTTGGAAAAGGTATTACTTTATTTTTTTCACCTTTGCTGTAAGTAAAATTGTAAGTCAGATCAGACTCTCTAGTATTGGTAGGGCAACCAGTTCAACAGAACAGTTCAACCCCCTACAAAAATATCACACACTAGTATGACAGTATACGGCCCATTACTCACCAGGCCTGACATTTTACGCACATGTGTGGGTTACTTTGAAAAGAATACTTCTTATTTTATCATTTTGATTTTAATTTGTTTTTATGGCTTAACATTTAAAAGGTAATTAAAACAAACATATTTTTGAATTGTAAGAATTGTTTTAGAGATGCTGGGGGCAGGGAGAACAATGTGGATTCATACTTTTCCCAGGTTTATTTGCATATAAACAAATATAACGAACCTGAATGGAATTCAAACTCGGTACTCCAATTTCTCGTTCTAAGCCTTTACCCACTGCACCAACCACACATCCAAGTTTACAGCCTGGTATTCATGAGCAGTCACCCATCAAGATACTGACGAGAACCAGTGTTTCTAAGTGATATGGCCATAAGCCCTTTATCCTTCTTGACCTGCAACATCACAGGCATTGATTGTTTGGCAGAAGAGGTTGAACCTTCTAGCCAATAACCCATACTTTTTGTTCTTATGCTGTCAATGTTCTCAGTTCCCTTTTTGATTGAAGTCTGTTCAACTTTTGGCAATTTCAAAACACTGTATTTCCATCGTTCAATCTTGTTTCTCTTTTGAGGTTATATCTTTTTTTTTTATGAGCCACAGCAATCTACTTTTTTAATTTCAGATAAATATCATTAACTACAGAATTATATTTCCATAGTGGGAGGTTTTGAATTCAGAGTTGTCTTCCTCCTAGACCAGTTACCACACAAGTTTATAGGATTCAGTCTGACCTGCTATTTTACCCATAGCTGAGGGGGAGAAGAGATAATGGCTTCATACTTTTCCCAAGGGTATTTGCATGTAAGTGAATATAATGAACTAAAGTGGAATTCAAACTCGGTTCTTCAATTCCTCAATACGTGCTACTATCTATTACTCGACTGTACTTTAATCAACAATGACAATTAGTTAATACCAATTTCATTGAGAAAAAATAGCTGAAATAATGCTACAAATAAGTGAACAATTCCACTCTTTATATAATGTAAATCTCTTCACTTATTGTGAAACAGAGGCTGTATAATTTTACATTGGATTTTTGAGGAAATGTGGCATAGAGTACAACTCCTGTATAGTAGGCTATTTACATTATTCGGACTATTGTCCTCATCTTTGTCGCCATATTTATTACGTTTTGGTCGTTATACACTCCAGCCTTCTTCAGATGGTTGGAATGTTGAACTGAACTTTTTATTTTGCTCATTGAGCTAAACTGTTCTTGTTCCACGTGCCATGTTTAATGGATGTCAGTTATCAGTTATCTCCTGTTAATTTTTTCTCCAAGTTCTCCACTGCCTTAACCGAGTATTGAACTCATACTCTTTGGGTCCTGTCACTGGATCTAACCAATGCCTTTATGCATTGTGCCATGTGTCCTTGAGGACACATGGCACAGTGGATAAAGAAATATAGACAGATCCTCTATAGTAGGATTTAAGATTTTAAAAGCAAGTAATACTTTGACATTATATAGTAGGAGTTTACAAGCAAGTAATCCTTTTATATTATATAGTAAGATTTTACAAACTAGTAAAACTTGTCTTGAACCAGTTGAAAAAATTAACAGGTAAAATTTTTCTTTTCTTTACTTAGTAAGAATTTAGTTAAAAAATTATTTTAAGCCAACTGGATCAACAACATCTAAGAGGGTTTTGATCAATGATTGATTGATTGATTGATTTTCTATGGCTTATCAACCTTTTGAGGGTTATTTAAAGCCAGAAAATATTTTTACAGTGTAAGAATTTTTTCGGTGGGGGGGGATAATAATGGTTTAGTGATACAGATATTACTAATTAACCCATAGCTGGGGAGAGAAGAGGTGAATTCATGCCTCTACAAAGGAAATTTGCATATAAGTGAATATAACGAACCCAATGAGAACTGGAACTCGATTCTCTGATTAACAATTCAGAGCTGTTATCCATTACACCACCTGCACATCCAGGCTTACAGCCCATGGTATTCCCAAGAAGTCACCCATCTAGGTATTAACCAAGCTCAATGTTGCTTAACTTTGGTGATCATACAGGGGTCTAGACTATCAAAAACACAAAAATAAATTACAATATATGACATCGCATTGTAGATTTTATGAAGAACAGCAACAGTTTTAATTTTTTTTATTAATCTTAAAAAATTCAGTATTTGTGAATTTGCAAAAAGGAAATTGATGATAGAATAGGCCACACCAGGAGTAGTCTTGTCCAATACTACATGAAGCAACAAAATCAAAATCGTAACCTCGTCATATTCTAAAACAGCCTTGTCAAGTTGAGAATCTCATATGGATGTCATTCTCAGCCCCAAACCTGTTCAGAAATATCTAAACTGTATACAATCACTTTCTCAGATCAATAATTAAAAATGGCAATGAGCAAATGTAGGTCTTTGAGAGGACCACTCTTCTTCAAACCTCATGCACTGACACTACAGAATTACAAAGAACTGGATCAATAAACATGAAACACTTCAAATACTTCAGTGTATGGATCAATTATAACAAATTTTGTATAGGAACTAAGGAATTTGAAAATAGTGGCACTTGCACAAGGGGTACTTTTGCCCTACACACAAGATGCTACAAAGCCAATACATTAACCTAAGAACTTGAGTTATCTTCTTAAGAACCCTCGTCAGATCGAGAATTTAATATGGATGTCATGCATGGCACCAAACTCATTCAGAAATATCTAAACTGTCAGCTGTAGGCAATCAGTTCCTTAAATTGATGATTAAAAATGGCTTTGAGTAAATGAATCCAGTAGGTCTTAGAGAGGACCATCCTTTATCATAAAACACATAAAATAATCACAAAAAACTTTAGCAATTCCACACAATTTCAAATAAAAGGTTAGAAAAGGAAGCTACCATTAATACTGGGAAAAGCAATAACAGTTATTTCATAAAATTCAACGAACAGCAGCACTGAAAGTTCAGCCAATGAATGCTAAATGTTTCTGATGTAATGAATATGCATACACCTGGGTTCCCCCTCACAGTAATATGATTGGCTGGTGTCAGCCATAAATACAGACTGATGTGGAGGTACAAGGACGCTTATAGACTTTGCCTATTGCCTACCACTACGACAAGGACCAGTCCATTATGGTTACCTGCTAGTCTGTTCTACTCAATTACAGTAGTCCAAAACCACTTTGCTACTTTGAACAAATATATCCTTTTCCGGGACATATCAGTTTCCTTATAAGGAAATGGCTAATATCACTATTGCCTCCAACCTGTAAACATCCCAACATAAAAAGGTGAACAATTGTGTATCTCATTACTAATCTTAAAAACTGAGTCCACAGACATGGTCATGTTGTGGCATACGTTGTTTTCTTTTAAATTCCTAAATACCAAAACTATCTTTTTACATCTACACACACACACACACACACACACACAGTTAATATCTTAAAAAGGTAAGAATGCTGAAAACAAAATACTAGGATTATTAAATTGGTGACCAGAAGGTTGAAGTTCAATTATAGAATTATGACAGAAAATAATTTCATTTTCAACAAAATTGAAATAAGTAAAAAAAATATTACAACAAAATTAATCAATCCCCTAGTTTAACATCACAGATTACACACACATATATATATATATATATATATATATATATATATATATATATATATATAATTATAGAATTTTGCCATAAATTTTGAAATGGCATACTGTACTGCTTGGCATTCACACCAGAAGCTCCAATATGAACATTTCAGAGTGTTTGGGTGTCAATCTGAGAACAGTGCAGAGGATTCAGAAAGAGTTGGATGAGTCTAATGGTGATTCAGGGGGAGTATAAGGTGAGAATTAACTTACAAAAAGAGGTAAAGATTTGTTTGTAAATTTCCTTTATAAATCATTTTTGTCACAAGTTATCTGCTGTTGCCAGAAGATGTACCATCTTAGTACCGAAACGTGAAAGTTTTTGTGTATCAATGTAAAATGGTTTTATTGTAATTTATTAAGTTAAGATTTCGAAACCTAAAGGTAGAATTTTTTTTTTTTTTTTTTTATCTTTCTCATTTTATTTTCATCGTAGTTCAAGATTTCCAAGCAACAACAAATTCGTACATATAAGACGCTGGAAGCGAAAAATCGCTTCCCACCTGTGAACATCCCAACATAAAAAAGTGAACAATTGTGTATCTCATTACTAATATTAAAACTTACAGACAAAAACTGAATCCACAGGGTATCTCAATGGTGATGGTTCATGGTAATGCTTTCTCCATCATTGAGGCTGGCAGAGGATAGAAAAAAAAAAAAAAAAAAAAAAAAAACTCGAATTCACTCTCATTATAATAAAAATATAATATTTTGTTTCTACTTTGTGGTCATGTATGACGTCATGAACTGCGGAGCGATTTATGCTTCCAGTGTCTTATATGCACAAGTTTGTCATTGCTTGTAATTTATTATAATAAAAATATAATATTTTGCTCTACTTTGTATTGAGCACCTTTTTTAAAAAATAAATGCTACAAACTGTATTGTTACTTCATCTGTTCTTTCTCTCATTTGAATATAAATTGATAGCAAACATCAAATTAATTTATTCGGGTTTTTTTTAGACATCTAAATTACTATCAAGCATTAAAATCTATTCTTTACATAAATTGTTAAAACCCAATTCTCTTTTATAATCTATCTATCTCAGTCTCTTTTATAATCTATCTATCTCAGTCTCTTTTATAATCTATCTATCTCAGTCTCTTTTTTTTATAATCTATCTAATCTATCTATCTATCTATCTATCTCAGTCTCTTTTATAATCTATCTATCTCAGTTTTATAATCTATCTATCTCAGTCTCTTTTATAATCTATCTATCTCAGTCTCTTTTATAATCTATCTATCTCAGTCTCTTTTATAATCTATCTATCTCAGTCTCTTTTATAATCTATCTATCTCAGTCTCTTTTATAATCTATCTATCTCAGTCTCTTTTATAATCTATCTATCTCAGTCTCTTTTATAATCTATCTATCTCAGTCTCTTTTATAATCTATCTATCTCATTTTATAATCTATCTATCTCAGTCTCTTTTTATATAATCTATCTATCTCAGTCTCTTTTATAATCTATCTATCTCAGTCTCTTTCAGTAATAATCTATCTATCTCAGTCTCTTTTAATCTATCTATCTCATCTATCTATCTCAGTCTCTTTTATAATCTATCTATCTCAGTCTCTTTTATAATCTATAATCTATCTATCTCAGTCTCTTTTATAATCTATCTATCTCTATCTCAGTTTTTTAAATCTATCTATCTCAGTCTCTTTTATAATCTATCTATCTCAGTCTCTTTTATAATCTATCTATCTCAGTCAGTCTTTTATAATCTATCTATCTCAGTCTCTTTTATAATCTATCTATCTCATCTCTCAGTTTTTTATAATCTATCTATCTCAGTCTCTTTTATAATCTATCTATCTCAGTCTCAGTCTCTTTTATAATCTATCTATCTCAGTCTCTTTTATAATCTATCTATCTCAGTCTCTTTTATAATCTATCTATCTCAGTCTCTTTTTATAATCTATCTATCTCAGTCTCTTTTATAATCTATCTATCTCAGTCTCTTTTATAATCTATCTATCTCAGTCTCTTTTATAATCTATCTATTTCTCTTTTATAATCTATCTATCTCAGTCTCTTTTTATAATCTATCTATCTCAGTCTCTTTTATAATCTATCTATCTCAGTCTCTTTTATAATAATCAGTCTCTTTATAATCTATCTATCTCAGTCTCTTTTATAATCTATCTATCTCTATCTAGTCTCTTTTTATAATCTATCTATCTCAGTCTCTTTTTATAATCTATCTATCTCAGTCTCTTTTATAATCTATCTATCTCAGTCTCTTTTATAATCTATCTATATCTATCTCAGTCTCTTTTTTATAATCTATCTATCTCAGTCTCTTTTATAATCTATCTATCTCAGTCTCTTTTATAATCTATCTATCTCAGTCTCTTTTTTATAATCTATCTATCTCATCTATCTCATCTCAGTCTTTTATAATCTATCTATCTCAGTCTCTTTTATAATCTATCTATCTCATAATCTATCTATCTCAGTCTCTTTTATAATCTATCTATCTCAGTCTCTTTTATAATCTATCTATCTCAGTCTCTTTTATAATCTATCTATCTCAGTCTCTTTTATAATCTATCTATCTCAGTCTCTTTTATAATCTATAATCTATCTATCTCAGTCTCTTTTAATCTATCTATCTCATAAATCTTTTTATCTATCTCAGTCTCTTTTATAATCTATCTATCTCAGTCTCTTTTTATAATCTCATCTATCTCAGTCTCTTTTATAATCTATCTATCTCAGTCTCTTTTTTATAATCTATCTATCTCAGTCTCTTTTATAATCTATCTATCTCAGTCTCTTTTTATAATCTATCTATCTCAGTCTCTTTTTTATAATCTATCTATCTCATCTCATCTATCTCAGTCTCTTTTATAATCTATCTCTTTTTTAATAATCTATCTCAGTCTATCTATCTATCTCAGTCTCTTTTATAATCTATCTATCTCAGTCTCTTTTATAATCTATCTATCTCAGTCTCTTTTGTAATCTATCTATCAAGTTGAAATAAAATGATAACAGCACTCCATTTTTTGCCTGATCTAGCTCTTGTAAAGGTATAGGATAACAGGAGTTCGGTACTTACTGGAGCAGCACTGACAATCAAGCATTTCTCCTATTGATCGTATGTACAAGTTCTACTTGAGGTTTGGCATAAGCTTAAGGCCCAATATTTTCTCAACTGGTGGCTGTTTCAGGATCTGATTAACAATGATGGAATGTAACTAGTTTGGTTTTTGAGGCATTAAATGTTACCAACAAGTTTTTCCCCCCCACTGAGAAAGTTGCACCCATATATACCACTGTAGCATCAGCACAGATATTCACAAATGATCGGAGTATACTCTTAAGCAGATCATTTATATAAAATAAAAAAGAGGTTTGTTCCAAGAAACCACCCCTGACCATTAACAACTACTTTCCTAAATTCATATGGATTTTGTCTTGGCTAGTCACATTCTTATCTATCTATCTATGTCTCTTTTATAATCTATCAATCTATATATATTGTTAGGCAGATCATTTATATTATTTACATTATTTGAACTAATGTCCTCATCTTTGTTGCCATATTTATTACAACGTTTCGGCTATTGTACACTCCGGCCTTCTTCAGGTGATTGGAATGTCGAACTTAACCCTTTATTTCACTCACTGGGGTAGACTCTTCTAGTTCCACGTGCCATGTTTAATGGATGTCAGTTATCAGTTATCTCCTGTTAATTTCCCTCTGAAAGTTTTCCACTGCCTTAACTGGGTATTGAACTCACAACTCTTTGAGTCCTGTCACTGGGTCTAACCAACACCTTTATCCACTGTGCCATGCGTCCTTGAGTTGTAACAAATATGGCGACAAGGATGAGGACAATAGTCCAAATCATGTACATAATACCTCATCTCAGAAATATAGACAAATACAGATCATTTATGTAAAGCAAAAAGAGGATTAGCCTGAGAAGTGACCACTGGTGTATGTCTACATTAACCACCAGAGCCCCAAAATAATGGCTGTTAATAACTACCTTTATTAGGAAGGACATTATAATTGAGAAGACCTTTCCAGTGATTACATAGCTGGAGAGCTTGAGCAGCAAACCTTTGTGCCACACCTTCTTCAAATGCCCTCAAAATATCTAATGCTATGGTCTGTTTGTCATCAAGAGCCTCACTTATTCTGTGAGTAATGGCAGTTAATACACCAGCCAATAAAAACCTGTACTGCCTGTCACTCAAGAGGCTGTTATCTAGGTGCTTGATGACATAGTTGATTATAGCCCTAAAAAGCTTACTTTTGACATTGAGGAGACTGATGGGGTCTATACTGGGAGAGGGGAAGATCTCTCATCCATGTTCTTGAAGATCAGGCATACACTTGAAAACTTCCCATGAAGCTTGGGAAGGATTTCTTCTTTGACAGGGTTTGGGATGCTGGTCTTCTATATAAGCTTCAGGGGTACAGTAATACAGGACAATTGATTAAATCCAATCATTCCTATCAAATCGTGAAATGAAGGTCATTCTGAACAGGCTCTCTTCCTGATCCTTTCACATGAACGTGGGTGTCCCCCAAGGCTCTATCCTGGGTCCTACATTGTTTCTGATTTTCATCAAGGATCTTCCTGATGTCATCAGTTCCCAAGTAGTCATCAATGCAGATGACACAACCATTTATTCCTGTCTCAATAGTAAATCCCTCAGTGCTGACAAAGTTAATCTGGCTGCTCAAAAAGGACCTCCAATCTGTTATTAACTGGTGCAGGGAATGGCTTGTGAATTTTAATGCCTCCAAAACTAAACGGATCACATTTAACCAACATAGAGATAATTCCCAGCTTGCCAGACTCTGGGGGAGCATCTCACTGCACCTTCTTGGCCTCACTTTTTCAACTGATTTGAAATGCAACAAATACATTAAATCAGTAGCTGCCTCTACTGCAAGCAAAGTTAGTTCACTGTGTCAGACCAGAAGGTTTTTCTCATCAGAGTCCATTTTACATATCTACAATTCATCCATGTATTTAATACTGTTGCTATATTTGGTCTGGTATCCCACCTGTTCATCTCAAGGTTCTCAACAAAATCTAAATAAGGATCTGCAATATAATAGGTCTTGATTTGGCATCTCATCTTAAGTTACTTTCTCACAGATGTGATGTGGCTTCCCTCTGTTTTTTCTACAAATATTTTCATGGCAACTGTTCTGAAGCTCTTTTCCCCTGCTGCTCTGACCACATGAATTTAAGCGTGCTACTAGTTCAGCATCTAGGTCCCACCCTTTTACTGTTAAAATAGTTAACTGTAACCACCACTTCTATTTCAATGGATGTCAGTTATTTCCTGTTAATTCCGCTCTCAAAGTTCTCCACCTCCTTAACCAGGTATTGAACCCACACTCTTTGGGTCCTGTCACTGGATCTAACTAACGCCTTTATCCATTGTGCCAATGACATCCATTAAACATGGCATGTGGAACTAGAACAGTCTATCCCAGTGAGCAAAATAAAAGGTTCAGTTCAACATTCCAACCACCTCGAAAAAGGCCATAGCATATAATGGCCAAAACGTTGTGATAAACATGGCAACAAAGACGAGGACAATAGACTGATTAACGTAAATAATGTAAAAAATAAAGTACTAGTCAGTTATTTGCTGGGAAAGTAGAAAAACACCTTATACCAATTTGGGAGCATTACATTTTGAACTAAGAATATTAGTGGGGGTGGGGAATACTCTCATCATATTTCTGCACAGAATTTTTTAGCTGTATTACGGTAAGTACTGTAGATACCTATAGTCAATTTACAAGTTAGAATATGAAATAATAGTAATTATTTCATTTTATAACATGTAACACATACCTCTTCCACTCACCATTACATACTTGTAAAATCCTGAATTTGCTAACATAAATTTCTAATTGATAAATTTCAGTATAAAAATGGTGGGGATGAGATATAGCGATAAAGGCTCCCATTATTGTTTAATGTTCCAGCAAGGCAAAAATTAAAAGTTCATTGATAAAATAAGGACAAATTTGTTGTTGCCAAGCCTAAGAAATTAAAAAATGTCTTTCATTTTGATAAGTACCGAGAAAGAAGGTGGGGGTGGAGAGAGAGAGAAAATGGTTAGAAATGTGAATTTATGCCTGATTATGTAGGAATTTGTGTCATAATAATAATAGTGTCATAAAAAATGTCCTTTGCATACCTCAAGTCAGTCACAATGAGATCACAGTAACTTGATATAGGAGAAATATGACAAGTATTTACAATTGGTTGACAATTGTTTGTTCCGAACACAATGTCCCTATGACACGATACGATTGGCAGTAGAGGTGGTTGAAATGGAGGGTTAGCTATTTTCATGGGTGAAAAGATTTGTTAACCTGAGAATGAATTTAAAATGAGAAAGAAAGAGAAAAAGCAAGTAAAGAGTGAGAAAGTGATAATAAAAAGGAAGGAAGGAAGGAAGGAAGGAAGATAGAAATAGAGATGAGGAAGAGATGAGGAAGAGAAGAGGAAGAGATGAGGAAGAGAAGAGGAAGAGATGAGGAAGAGAAGAGGAAGAGATGAGGAAGAGAAGAGGAAGAGATGAGGAAGAAAGGGAGAGAGAGAAGGGACAAAGAAAGGGAGAGAGAGAAGGGACAAAGAAAGGGAGAGAGAGAAGGGACAAAGAAAGGGAGAGAGAGAAGGGACAAAGAAAGGGAGAGAGAGAAGGGACAAAGAAAGGGAGAGAGAGAAGGGACAAAGAAAGGAGAGAGAGAAGGACAAAGAAAGGGAGAGAGAGAAGGGACAAAGAAAGGAGAGAGAGAAGGGACAAAAAGAAAGAGAGAGAGAAGGGACGAAGAAAGGGAGAGAGAAGGGACGAAGAAAGGGAGGGAGAGAGAGAGGACGAAAGAAAGGGAGGGAGAGAGAGAGACGAAGAAAGGGAGGGAGAGAGAGAGGACGAAGAAAGGAAGGGAGAGAGAGAGGACGAAGAAAGGGAGGGAGAGAGAGGGACGAAGAAAGGAGAGAGAGAGGACGAAGGGAGAGAGAGAGGGACGGAAAGGAGAGAGAGAGGACGAAGAAAGGAGGAGAGAGAGGACGGAAGAAAGGGGAGAGAGAGAGGACGAAGAAAGGGAGAGAGAGAGGACGAAGAAAGGGAGAGAGAGAGAGGAAGACGAAGAAAGGGAGAGAGAGAGAGGAAGACGAAGAAAGGGAGAGAGAGAGAGGAAGACGAAGAAAGGGAGAGAGAGAGAGGAAGACGAAGAAAGGGAGAGAGAGAGAGGAAGACGAAGAAAGGGAGAGAGAGAGGAAGACGAAGAAAGGGAGAGAGAGAGAGGAAGACAAGAAAGGAGAGAGAGAGAGAAGACGAAGAAAGGGAGAGAGAGAGAGAAGACGAAGAAAGGGAGAGAGAGAGAGAGGAAGACGAAGAAAGGAGAGAGAGGAAGACGAAGAAAGGGAGAGAGAGAGAGGAAGACGAAGAAAGGGAGAGAGAGAGAGAAGACTAAGAAAGGGAGAGAGAGAGAGGAAGACGAAGAAAGGGGAGAGAGAGAAGACGAAGAAAGGGGAGAGAGAAAGGGAGAGAGAGAGGAGAGAGAGAGAAGACGGAGAGGAGAGAGAGAGAGGAAGACGAAGAAAGGGAGAGAGAGAGAGAGAAGACGAAGAAAGGGAGAGAGAGAGAGAAGACCTAAGAAAGGGGAGAGAGAGAGAGGAAGACGAAGAAAGGGAGAGAGAGAGAGGAAGACGAAGAAAGGGAGAGAGAGAGGAAGACGAAGAAAGGGAGAGAGAGAGGAAGACGAAGAAAGGGAGAGAGAGAGGAAGACGAAGAAAGGGAGAGAGAGAGGAAGACGAAGAAAGGGAGAGAGAGAGAGAGAAAAGAAGCAGAAAGATGGTGTGGAGAAGAAGGAGAGGGGAAAGTGGGAGAAAAGAAGGAAAAAGATAGTTGGGAGAGAGAGAGAGAGAGAAAGGAAAAAGAGAGAATAAAGGAGAAAGAGAGAAAACAAGAAA